TCTCCCCCAAACCATCCTTCCTCTCTAAAGCTTCAATCAGTGCCTATCACTCCCCAGCTGGCAGTGGCTTTCCGTTTCACTCCAAGTCCTACCCAAGACCTGCAATGCCCTTTCTATCTGGCCGCAGCCTCCCAGCCAGACTGCAACGCCCTCTTCTCCTGCCCTTGTTTCCTGAACTCTGGTCAAGGGCCCTCTCGTTGAACCTCAGACACATCAAGTGCCAGCCTACCTCTGGGCATCTGAAGTGCCTGCCACGGGGACCTCTCCTCCCTCAGATCTTTGGCTCCTGCTCATCTTTCAAGCCTCCACTCAGGCGTCACCTCCTTAGGGACACTGGGTCACCCTCTGCCGTGCCCTTCCCGACACTCCCTACCACGTCACCCACATTCATGTTCCCCAGAGCAATCATTACTGCCCGAGAGAAGGGTATTTACTGACTTACTGGATTGGATTCAATGCTAGAATGTGAACTTGGTGATGCTTTACCCTCCACTCCACTCCACATGGTAAAACCAGTGCCTGGCAGGCTCCAGTTGGTGCCCCACACATTTTTATAGATGGACTGCTTTTGACTGAGGGAGGGGAAGAAAAAAGACGATGGCAACTCTAAGCAAGCAGGACCACTCACAGCTCCACACCATGGGGTGAAGGTCTGGGCCACCTCACCTGGCAAAGGACACTACCAGGTAAGGTACTGGGCAGGGGCCGGGGGCGGGGGGGGGATGTGCGGCCAGCACGAGAGGAGCAAAGTCAACAATAGCACATATGGCCTTGCAACCAGAAGCAGAAGAAAGAGATTTCCTTGTGTGGTATCACATATATATACATAATATTTATTTATTTTCTATTTTCTTTCCTCCCCCACCTCCTTCCACTACCACGGTAAGGGTGTGTTGCATAAATTTCCCTCTGGGCATACACAGTGGAAAAGGCACTGCAACAAAACTGAGGAAGAAACGGCTATTGCTCCGGAGGGCCTAGACTCGGAGCTGTTTGCAGTAACTGATGAGCCTCTGGGTTGTCTCCCTCAAGGGAAGGAGCGAGAGGGTTTTTAATTATACATAGAGTAGGTACATCACGTCAGATTGACATTTTTAAAAAAATGAACACCCTCCACCCTGCTTCATTTTTCTTTATAGTACCACCTGCCCGGTTACATAGTCACTTGTTAATTCATTATCCCCTCACTGGAATAAGTGATTTAAGAGCTTTATTCTGTTCCCTGCTGTCACCTGGCACATGGTAAGCACTCAGTAGTTACTGGATATATGAATGAATGAATGAATGAATGAATGAACGAACAAATGGAGAATCTGTCCAGAATCTACTTCTATTTCTAACACTACTTGGATTTCCTCTAGGGGAATGACCTCCTTTCCATTGTGTTCAGCCTCGGTGACAGGGTACCATGTACCTGCGTCCCAATATGGAAGGCAAAAGGTCTCTGGAGGCCCCCAGCCCTTCTCCCTGTTCCAGTGCCACCAGGCAGTAGACACCTCACCTGAGCTTCAAGGGTTGATTTCCCTATCCTGGGATTTTGACTTTTAAGTGACAGAAGGAATGTTGGCCTTCACTCATTCCTATGCCCTCCTGCTACGTGCTTCCCTCAGCTTCTTCCAAGTGGTTCCTTGATTCCCAGGAACAACCCTAAAGGCCATCCATTTCCTAGACTGGTTCTCTAGCCATTCTTTCAACTCTGGGGACATCGGACACCCTTCCAATAAATTCTCTTTTTGCTTCAGCTGGTCAGAGTTCGTTTTTGTTGCTTCTCAACAAAAGAACATTGAAGTCAAAACAAAACACTATTACAGAAAGCACAGAAATAAGCTGTTTGTATGTATGTATACAGGATTGGAGGAGAAATCACCTACATTCCATCCTAACCACATGAATTTCATTTTTGCATTATTCCTGTTAAGTCTTTGAACATATGTACTCATGTCATATATTGTTGTGATCGTGGTATACGTTATAGGTTGAATTATGTCCCCCATACAGATGCTGAAATCCTAACCTCTAGTACCATCAAAGTAACCTTATTTGGAAATAAAGTCTTAGTAGATGATCAAGTTAAGAGGAGATTATTAGGGTGGGCCCTACCTCAAGGACAGGGAGAAAGCCACATGAAGATGAAGGCAGGGATAAAGGCAGTACATCTACCTGCCAAGACGCAAGCCACCCTAGACAACCGGAAGCTGGGATGGGAGCCAGCAGAGACTCCGCGACCCTGCCCTCGAAAGGAACCACCCTGCCAACGCCTTCCTCTGACTTCCAGCCTCCAGTGCTGAAACACAAACTTCTGCTGTTTAAGCCACCGGGTTTGTGGTACTTTGTTAAACATGGTTTTATTTCCTATTTTTCCTCTCACGTTAAAACTGTAGCCGTCCCTTTTCATGTTGTTGCAGGGTTTTCCTATCTGTGTTGTAAACTGTTTTGAGGTAGTGGCCCACGCAGGACTCCAACTCACTATTCCACTGTGAATGAACATTTACTGTGCTTTGACTTTCGTGCCATCACAACACAAGAGTATCTTGGGCATACAGCTTTTTTTCTCCTTTTGGATGACTTTCTGAAAACACATCACCAGAGGTGGATGACTGGATCAGAGCGGATGAACATGGGGCCTGGCGCTGAGCGGCTTTGCAGGAGGAAGACAATGAATGCACGTTGTCTCCAAGGGCATACAAGGGAATGAGAATGTTGACATAAGGTAATGGGAAAGAAGGGAGCTCTAGGCAAAGGGGCAATTGAGAAGCACAGAGGGAGTGTGAAAGCCTAGAGAAGATGCAGAACACTGGATGGCAAGCTCTGGAGGGAGAAAGGAGAGAAACAGATGGAAAGTGAGACTCGGGTTGCACAAAAGCCTATAAACTCATTTAAGGACCTGGGACTTGATTCTAATGCTTGGAAAGAGTTGAACATAAACAGTGACTCTGACTACAGTGTGTATGAAAACTTGGCCTGAGGAGGTGAGGGGGTGGCTGTGAGGGGAAGGGTTAAGGAGCCTGAGAAGCAAGGTGACCCTGAGAGCCAAAGGATGGGATTTAGTGACTCCCCAAGGAGGGGGGCAAGGACTCTCAGGTGTCTAGCCTCCTTGGTTGAGGGGTTGACGAAGGCATGAGATGTTCACAAATTCCCTCAACCTCCACCTGCAAGTCCCACCTTAAGTCCTCTCAGTGTATGTGACATGAGTTAGAAACCATGGCAACACAATTGAGGGTGACAGCATTTTCTCACCATTCACCAACTCTCTGACTTCTCACCACCCAGTGTGACCTCCTGGGCCATGGTCCTCAACGATTTCTGTCAGAATCCATCAGTGACCTTCTTGTTACCATTTTTGGTCACTAGCCATCATCCTCTTCTACCTGTCCTTAGAAATGCCTCCCTTGACCAGGGAGTCCATACCTCCTTGTTCTTTCCCTTCCTCGACCCATCCTGTTCCCTCTCCTCTTCTCCCTAGAATTTCAGTCCTTCAAATGACACCCTCCACCTTCTTCAAGGCTGTTGAAACCTCACCCCTTTTTACAGCTTCAGTCGCCACGCTCACGTGCAGGACTTGCCCACACAGTGAGTTGGCAGTAGTTGGGTTTCCTAATGCCCAGCTCCTACTCTTGTGCTCACCGCATGATATTCATTTCTAAAAGTAAGACAGGAAACCCTGCCGTTGGAGCTATAATCATAGCACTTCTTTAAAGAGTCAAAGAGTTCAGTGGTTAAAAATGAACCACTTGGTATTAAAAGTTCTATTTGTAGATTCAAATCCCATTTCTGCCCCCTCCTGGGTGAGTGACTTAGGGCAGTCTACCCCTGTATACCTGAGCTTTTTCATCTGTAAAAATGAGGATAATAATAGCATCTAACATGGCAGGTAGCTACAAAGATCAAATGAGCTAATACATCAGAGCACAAGGAACAGTCTGCCACATGGTAAGTCCTCAATAAATATTAACTTGTTACTCTTGCCCAGTGCACAACAGGCCACGCCATTCTTATCTGACCAGCTGACTGGCACCGACGTGAATTAGTATAAGGGAAGATTTTCTTTTTTAAGAATGTAAACATCAGGGGTGCCTGGGTGGCTCAGTTGGTTAAGCTTCTGCCTTCAGCTCAGGTCATGATCCCAGGGTCCTGGGATGGAGCCCCACATCGGGCTCCCTCCACGTTGGGCTCCCTGCCCAGTGGGGAGTCTGCTTCTCCCTCTCCCTCGCTCCTTCCCTCCCCCCTACTTGTGCTCACTCTCTCTTTTAAATAAATAAAAATCTTTTTAAAAAATTAAAAAACGAGGGGTGCCTGGGTGGCTCAGCTGGTTAAGCGACTGCCTTCGGCTCAGGTCATGATCCTGGAGTCCCGGGATCGAGTCCCACATCGGGCTCCCTGCTCGGCGGGGAGTCTGCTTCTCCCTCGGACCCTTCCCCCTCTCAGGTGCTCTCTCTCATTCTCTCTCTCTCTCAAATAAATAAATAAAATCTTTAAAAAAAAAATTAAAAAATGAAATGATTCCATTTATTAAAAAAAAAAAGAACATAAACATCATTCCAAAAACGTGTGGTTTTCATTCAAATCAACAAGTGTTTACTGGGTAAGTACTGTGATAGCATATTAGCTACTACTGTAACAGACAAACTTTTCTTTGGCATCAGTGAATCTCAGACACCCAGAAAGAGCTTCAGAAAGGTTCAGACAAATGCCTGGGACTCCATTCTTAGCTCTCCACCTACAGGAACTTAGGTACACAGACATAAGGGGAGCAAACTTCTCAAACGGGGTCACTGTGATGACACAGAGCACTCACTCCAGAGGGCTAATGACACCCTCACGTCTGCAGCCCCTGAGATGAGCTCTCCTCACTCCCAGGGGAACAATGCCCTGGTCCAGAGGCAGCGGAGAGGTGCACAATCGAATGGCCACCTTGGTTTCACTGGGAACAGTCCAACTGAGGACTCCACACCAGTTTCTGAAAAGGGAGCCCCCAACCAGGGTGGGCCTGGGAGACTCACCATTGGATGCTCGCATCTGCCGCCGGCGTCCCACTCGGTCCAGCCCAATGGGGGTGCTCTGGGAGAAGGTGAAGGGCCGGAACCGGGCCGAAACCGCCTTGTAGGGCAGCACCTGGTGAGCGGGTACAGGAGGCCTGGCTGCCGGCTACAAAAGGAAAGCAAAACACTGTGAGGGGATGCCAGGAAGTGGCACCTCCTGCAAAGCTCTTCACACACACAGCCCTGAGCAGCTCGGCACTGTCACCTCCAAGCCACTCACACACTCGAGACGCTTTCTCCAGACCGTGGCAAGAGCTTCAGGCTGCACCCAGGCGTGGTGGCCATGACTTATTCCAAGAGTTTAAACAACCACTACTGACTCAAGGGCTCTTACCTCACAGCAACACATTTCATGTTATTTGTCAGCAATATACCAGGGGTAACGCTCAGTAAAAGCAAAGCGTCCAAGAAGAGAAGCAGATTTAGGAAGTGGTGGCTTTCTCACATGGAGTCAGGGGCGGAAAGGTAAGAAGATGTGTTCCCAGCAGCAGCCTCCAGGGCGAGCAGACGGTCCTGGAGGACAGACTGGGACTGGCATACCTGCCAGGCACATCCAAGTGCAGCCACTAGGTACGCATTTGTGGGATACAAATGCTCCTTTCCTCAACTATCATGACAACTGAGCTTCGTTTAAAAGAAGAGTTGGGGGCGCCTGGGTGGCTCAGTTGGTTAAGCGACTGCTTTCGGCTCAGGTCATGATCCTGGAGTCCCTGGATCGAGTCCCGCATCGGGCTCCCTGCTCGGCAGGGAGCCTGCTTCTCCCTCTGACCCTCCCCCCTCTCATGTGCTCTCTCTCTCCCATTCTCTCTGTCTCAAATAAATAAATAAAATCTTTAAAAAAAAAAAATAAAAAAATAAAAGAAGAGTTGGTTTTCCACTTTCCATGAATTTACCCAGGTCTCTTTAGAATCACCTATGTACCCTGTTGATTTTTCCCCGTGAACCATCTCTATAAATCAAAGGCCAAGCTGGCTTATGCTTTCCTTAGGTTTTCTTCGTATTTCCCCACCCAGTTCCCTACATGAGCCTACAGTGCATAAAGTGATCTTACCACATTCCTTCTTAATGCTCTGAAGTGAAATAATTTCTCAGTGCTTTTGATTGTCCCCATACTGTGTTTCAAGTTAAAATAGATATACGGTTTGCTTTGGTTCAGAATCATTTCCTAGCATACAGCGTATTCTACTGTTGCAAAAAGTTCGTGGGATTCTTCCACTTCATTTTTTTACCTTTAGAATGCAATTCAATTTAACTCAAGAGAAATCTGAGTGCTTGCTATAAACAAGGCATTGGGCTGGGCTTAGGGAGAATGTAAACATAAAATCCAATACTAACATAGATTTTTCTCCCCTTTTAAGAGAATTTTAGGAGTTATTGATGATGTCAGCTAGCAAGCTCAAAAAGTAAAACTGGATGCTTACTCATGTACTGTTCTGGGAACCCCTGACCATGGCTAGGTCTCACCAAATAACATACACTCTCCTGAACAGGGCCTTTATTTAAATGTTTTGTGGCCCCAGAGTGCTCGTTGGGTAACTGATAAATACTTGTTGAAATACTAAGGGGAAAATATAAAAATTTTATTGGTAAAGCAGCTGTAAAGCAGCAACTTGAATGTAAAGAGTTAAAAAATGGTAGAAAACCGATTTCCTTAGCCCCTAAAAAACTGGTTTCTTATTTTCTTATCTTTATTTTTTAACATCGGAGGATACTTTCTCTTTCAAGAACTTCTTTCAGCAAGCTCACTAAATATGCACTGCTACCTTCTCCTTATTCAGATCTCAGGTGGTTTAGGACAAACAGCACACTAGTTTCCTGTATTGTTTGAGACTCCAGGAAAGACAGAGATTAGTAAAAGGCATCCATATGTCAGATGGTAGATTAATTCATGAGTGTTTTCAGAGTCAGGAAGAAAGGTTGGGAGTCTGTTGTCCTTGAGGCAGACAGAAGAAAGAAAAGCAGCAGCCTGTTTAGTTCATAGGGGAGAACAAAGGCCAGGAAACTGGAGGGCTCTGTTAGCTTTGGTAGAAGCACGCCAGGTCTTACTCGGGTTAGAAGACTCTCTATTTCCTCTGTCGGGCTGTTCCCATAGAAGCTGAGCCCGCCTATCACGGAGATGGGGCGTCTTCTCCAGCTTCCTTTGGGGGAGCCCATGGCAGGGTTCTGGTCTGCAGTGTCTGCAGAGGCCGTGTTTGGCTGGCGATCTCCCTCCACGGTGTCCTCTTTCTGGGGGTCCACAGCAACTGAGTCTTCGGGAATAGACAGACTCCGGGTGGCCAGCTGGCCATAGTCAGAGAGCGGTCGGGGCCTTGATCTCCTCCCAGAACCCCATTTCCTCCTGGTGATCCTCTGAGACTCCGTCCTTTCTTCATCCCGGGATGAGTCCCGCCTCCAGGATTCCTCTGTCACAACCTTTTCAAATGCGAACAAGTTAGGTGAGCACCAAAATCCAGGAAGGTATTGAAAAAGAACAAGCCATACACTCCCTCCCATCCATCCTCTTCAGCCCTGCCTTGAGGCCTTCTTGGTATACTTGTTTGTTTTTTTAAAAAGTTATTTCTGTAACAGGAAGACATAACTGAAATGTGCACTAAAATAAGCAATTCATCTTTAACTGGAGGCTGAATTAAAACCATAATTTAAATAGTGATATATGGTGACTGAGGATGAGCTATGATAAAAGATACTAAGAAAATCAATACCACTGTGAGATGCTAGAAAGAACTTCTATGGTATCACCCAAAATACAAAATATACATAACAATAACATGGGGAAATGCAGGAAATCCAGTTACTTAAGGTCTGTGGATTTGGTTCTGCCGCTGTTCACTGGGGAAGAATGGGTCCTTGTGTGGATGAAATGCTATACCAATGATAAGTGAGATAGCCTTTATCAGCCACAGTTAATTATTGCTCTTAAAAAGCCCTGTGTAGACTAACCATGCCCAGGTTCAGCCCTGCCTGCAGATAACCTCTATGTCAGCACACCCCTCAAAGTCTGGGTTCAGAGGAGGGCTGCTGCCTAATTCTACAGGAGGTTTCTCCCATCCCTGGTTATTATTTTTTTAAACACATTTTTATTTTATTATTTTTTAAAGATTGTATTTACTTATTTGAGAGAGAGAGAGCAAGCACAAGCACGGGGAGAGGCAGAGGAAGAGAGAGAGGAAGAAGCAGACTCTCTGCTGAGCAGGGAGCCTCATGTGGGGCTTGATTCTAGGATCCCGGGATCATGACCTGAGCTGAAGGCAGATGCTTAACCGACTGAACCACCCCCCCCCGGTTATTATTTAAAAATAAAATAAAAAATAAAAATAGTCCAGGGCCCAGGGAAGAGGACAAGAACAAGCAGAGTTGTACTGGAGGGCAGGGCAAGCAGAGCAGGCCACCCAGGCCTGGAGGCCACCAGCAGAACGGCCCCAGGCAGCCTGGCCCTGCCCCCAGGACTGGCTCAACAGGGCATGCTGCTTGCCAATCAGTGGCAACAAAGAGCTCAAATACAGTTCCTGTAATTTCCAATCCCGTGTGCCTCAATGCTCCCTAAGATCATACACAGCTGATTTATGAGCAACATAGCGGTTTGAGGTACCGACCCCTCGTACGTCAAAAATCTGCATGTTAACTTTTGGCTTCCCCCAAACTTAACTACTAATAGCCTACTGTTGGATGGAAGTCAATTAACACATGTTTGGTATGCTATACATAGTATATACTGTGTTTTTATAATAATATAAGCTAAAGAAAAAAAAAGATGTTATCAAGAAAATCATAAGGAAGAGAAAATACACTTACAGTACTGAACTGTATTTATAAAAAAAAAAAATCCACGTGGAGGTGGACCCACACAATTCAAACCTGTGTTGTTCAAGGACCCACTGTACTATGAAAAATCTGATGAAGAGCGAAGAAAGCAGAAAGGGATTTACAGACACTCCACTGCATTGCCATCATTTTTCAAATTAGAAAAACGGAAACCCAGGGAAGTGAGGGGACTTGCCCAGGGCCACACAGCCCATGCACAGTAAGAGAGACACTGAAATGTGGGCCTTGTAATTTCTGTTCCCACTGTTCCAAGTCACCTCTGCTCCAAAGCTAGTAAGTTCTAGCAGTCACCACTTACCATGCTGTCTGCAGCTTCTGACAGCAAGGAACTTCATATTTAAATCAAGTCACCAGTGAGGGATCTAGAATACACCCCTGTGTATTCTACCCGAGCTCAAGGTATTCTACCCTCTACCTGAGCTAAGGTATTCTAGAAGAGACTTTTTTTCCCCACTGAACTCCCTTATCTGCCTTAAAGCAGAGCCTCCCCAAAGAACTCCGTTGTCATAAATCCATAATTGTGCAGGTTCAATCCTATCCTGGGATAGGATTTTCTTCTTCCAACCAGGGAAGATTTGACTCTTATCAGTTGAGAAGAGAAGCCCTGGCCTCAGCAGACAGTGGCCACAAAACTATCAGACCTCCCATTTTTCTTTCCTAAATCACTGGGTTTCCCATAAGTGCCCTTCTCCACCTCCCCTCCCCTAGTGAGAAAGTATAAATGCCCCCAATTCTAACCACTTCCTGGAGTCACTTTTTCCTGTCAACTCCCACTTACTCACATGAATAAAAACCTGTCTTTTCTAATCTGTCTTTTGTCAGTTCAATTCCACACACCCCCACATAGTAAGCCTAAGACAGTGGAGAAAAAGGTTTTCCTCTCTGACACCATCATGGGAAAATATGAGAAATCATGAAAATTTAATATTTTTTGCATTACATATAAAAAACAGGATATTGTGGAGAGTTTAACTACATTATTTAAACTAAGTGGCACAATTTAAGCACACAGAATAAGCCATTTATATTATCACCCTGTGATAAAAAGGTTCAGACAAGGTGTTAGAAACACAGAAGCAAGACAAAATTACAGGCAAGGAGTAGTCTAACTGGTAACAGTTAACTACGTGCAGTTTTTTTGAGGTTGTTTTTGTTCTTTGGGTTTTTTTGTTTTTTGTGTTTTTTTTTTGGCACTTACGCAACATGCAGCACGCCTCACTGAAGCCTTACTGATGCAGACAGGAAAATAAGGAAATGGGTGTAGGAAGACAGAAGGCTGTCTTAGTTGTTCAGGTAAGAGATCCTTCTGAGACCAAAACATACTCCAGGAAGTGAGGAGGCTGGATAAAGGCAGGTATGCTCAGAGCAGGAAATGAGAGGGCAGGAGACGTGCACAGGATGATTTCTTTAACACGTCATGCCTCAAGTTCCAACGACGGTTCCCACCGGGGGGTACGCATTAAGAACTGACTGTCATTCTCCTAGAACTATTTATACAGTCCCACTGAAGATACAAAAGGAGAAAACAGCCCTTCCAAGTGGTACTGAATGTCCTAGGAAGTGCAAAAATTAGTTAACAGAATAATACATACAACTGAAAGTTCCGCTTTACTCCTACAAAAGAGGGAGAGACAATGATCCTTGGCCAGAAGAGACTTACATTCCTTGTAAAACAAATCTGAGCTTCGATGCGTATTCTAAAACTGAATCTCCTTTCAGCAGAGTCTGCGTACTTCCAGAATACAACGGAGGTTCATTCCAGGGAACATAGTTTGACTGTGATTATACCCGCAACTACAAACACCCACCACCACCACACTCCACAAGTTATAACCTACCCCGGATTCTGGTATCGGCAGGGGCGGCCCAGAGACACACTGAAGGAACAAGCAGTTGACCACATCCATGCTCTCTGAGATTCTTTCTTGCCTTTACACCAGGACAGTGAAGGCGTAAGTGGTCATGCCAGAGCTGTGTCTACTGACGCTTCTCCTCACAACCCAGCAGCCTGGGCTTCAGATCAATCCAGGGCTCTAAGCTTGATTGGCCGATTCACACCCAAGTCATAAACTTTTCTAAACAAACTTTGCAGCTGAGTGGCTGCCCTTTTAACTCTTGCTTCTCTGTATTATTGTTTTAAAGTACTTTCCCTAGTCAGGAGTCCTGAATTTCTTCTTCCTATACAAGATTCCTTTCTTTGCTTCACAAAAGTAAAAAGCCAAGATAGATCTTATTACCTCCAGTGAGACACTTCAAAACACGTTTTGAAACCACAGTGCAAGTTAAGTTATTAACTGAGGGAAAAAAGACTTGACGAAAAGCCCTGATGTCACGTCTATCCATTCAGAAGCTTCATCTAAGGGAAGTTTAATGGATCAAATAGCAAGAGTTGTGGGTTGAATTATGTCCCCTGTAAAAGGTACATTGAAGCCCTAACCCTCAGGGCCTGTGAATATGATCTTATTTGGAAATACCGTCTTTGTAGATGCGATCGAGTTCAGATGAAGTCATGCTGGATTCGGGGAGCCCTAATCCAATGGCTGGTGTCCTTAGAAAAAGAGGGAAATTTAGACACAAAGACGAAAGTAAAGACAGTCATATGGGGACAGAGTGATGCATCTATAAGCCAGGAAATCCCAGGCAGAGGCCAGAACAGATCCCCAGACTTCTGGCCTCTACAACAATGGGAAAAAGTCCTCTTGTTTTGAGCCACCTGGTTGCTAGAAATTTGTTACAGTAGCCCTAGGAAACTCATACAGCAAAGCAATTCAGAAGAAACTACTACAAGCAGGGAAATTAAGATGCTTTGGGAAGACTGAAAAAAAAATTAACCAAAGCAGAGCTTTTCCAGCGGAAAGAAAAAAAAAGAAAGGTATTCTCAAGATGTGCATTAACACAATAAGCAAGCCTCCCACATTGCCTCAGCATCCTGAACACCACAGGGAATTCAGGTGCAGTCCCAGAACTGGAGGTGGGACAAGAACACACCCAGACAGCTCACGTTGCAGGAGGCCGGCCATAATGCTAGCAATGACAGCTGTGGAGGCTTGGGCTACCTTACCTAATCCTCACCACCACCCCGCGAGGCAGGTAACTATTCACGACATTTTACCATTTAGACACTGGGGCAATGACTTGCTCGAGTTAACAGAGCCAAAGGAGACAGGCCCATTTACAACTCAGTCTGTCTGACTTCAAAACCTCTGTCCTTTCCGCTCTGCAGCCCCACATCTTTGGCATACACTTTTACAGAAGCAAGACAAAACTTGGTAGTCTTCCTGCCTTTAGCTATAGAGCTGCTTGGAAGGGGGTGGGGGTGCCGGGAGGGCAATGACAGGAAGAAAGGCTCTGTAGGTACCCCTGCAAGCTAGGGAAAGCTAGAGACACCTTCCCCAAATCACCGTTTTGTTTTGTTTTTTTAAAGATTTTATTTATTTATTTGACAGAGAGAGACACAGTGAGAGAGGGAACACAAGCAGGGGGAGTGGGAGAGGGAGAAGCAGGCTTCCCACTGAGCAGGGAGCCTGATGCGGGGCTCGATCCCAGGACCCTGAGAACATGACCTGAGCCGAAGGCAGATGCTTAATGAC